TTTTTTTGAAGACAATGAACAAAAACCTACAAAAAAACATTATAGACTTGGGTGACTTTCTTTTCAAGAAGTTGGTTCTAAAAAGACCAGGTAAACGTCCTGCTTACGATTGAAAGAATTATATCTGGGTAAATAACATGTCCCAAGCTCAGAAATAAGAAATCATTAGATGTGATGTTAGCAACCCCACTGAATCGATAAAAAACGGTTTGATCGCTACAGAGATTTCAAAGTATGGAACAAATAAACTTATTCATTACTAGAATCATGAAGACTGTAGAGATCAGATTAATGATTTTGTGCATTCTGTTGAATGTGAAAAAAATGACACATTTTTTATATGCTTTTTTTAATTATAATTACTTCGCGGAGGAATTGGAAATATACGCACCTTGATCCAATCTATGTCTTGACATTCAATTCAGCTGTCTAATTCCCTACTAATTCTCGTGTTATACTGTTTGGAACTTAGAGGAATTTTCATCCTCGTCTAGGGAATATCCGATAACCGGTTTCCAACATCTTCAGGTGAACATAGCACCGATGAGACGTACACGGTGAACTACACCTCTGGATTATACTGTTTAATTCAGAGAAGTCGACCTAACTATATTTTCAAGCATCTTTTATAACCCATTTACCTTAATATTTTTCAGTATACTGTTATAATATCTTTTACGAATTTATACTTTTATGTTGATATTTTTCACAAATCCTGTGTCTATCGTTCATCCCCCTATAAGACTCTGTAATTCGTGGACGAATGACTCTGGAGAGTGAAAGTCTTCTAGAAGACAGTCAGATGATGTTTCTTCTTTTGAAAGTAAGCTTGGGGATACGGAATTTCCCCTCCATGTTTGAATATAATAGCGTTTCTCAGATTGTAGGAGAATTAAGGAGATATCCTATAGACGTATTAGGAAATTGTGAGGGCAAATAGGATGGGAGTAGCCTTCCCAAATCATTTAGTGGAGAGCAAATAATCTAGTCTGGTAAACCAGATGACGACCATTACTGAAGTGAGGATGTGGCTATCATGATGTCACCAACAGGATCGAAGGGTCTTATTCAGTGAGCGCCAGTCTCCTTTGGGGTCATGACAGCAATATTCAACCTGAAAAGTAGGAATTTTACAATTATACAATGCTAAGTACCTACAAATAACGCCGAATAAAATAAGAAAGAGGACTTCTACTGACAACTACAAACAGTGATGAACTAGATCGCGGAAAGAAAGCGACATAAAAACTCTATTGATTGGTATCAATTCAAGCCAAACTTGGAGCAGACAACACGGGAAAGGGACTCATTCTTTATCCATAGGTGTTTGATGAAATGAAAGAGAACAGAGAAACGTTTGCGGACGTCAGCCCTATCAGTGATTTGACGATTAAAGGCAGAGTACACAAGCACAAGGACATGCACAGGGCAAAGTAAACTTCACTTCATAGACGCTAAAAGTCAAACGAACTTCAGCTGAATTTCAGGACTGAGAGGAGTAACAGATGTGGATTTAGATGACTATTTAGTGCAATAGATCTTAAAAGCTAGGTTTAAGACTTTTATAGAAGTCGGAGATCGTCCACAATTCAAGTTCATCCCTGAGAAACTAAAGGACGAAACTAACAATGGCTCAAACTTTTTACTGATATTAACAATGGCACCTTTACAGGAATTATGAGGAAAAAGCCGGAGGCATTAAGAAATACCGCCGATGAAAACTACTGAAAGAACACTAGAACTCTTTAAAAGCAATGTGGAAGAAACGTATAGATAACTAAGGCTGTAAATATAGGAGACTTCAAAACACCATACTCTGAGTTGCTTAATATCAAATGACACTTGGACAGACCACCACTTAAAACTCTGTCGCAAATACCGCCACAAAAAGACATAGAACTGCAGGTCAACACCAACTCTTCGACCGGAGTAAAAGTCTTGAAAGCCTTAAAGTCACTAAAAGTCGGGAAAGCAGCACGGACACATAGAATCTCACCTGGAATCACTAAAAACTGATCTAGAAACCTTAAAGAACATGTTTGCTCCAGTGCTGTACAGGCTACAAAAGTAAAAAGAAAATTACCTGCAGATTGGAAGAAAGTCTATGTTGTCAGACTTTCAAAGAGGTCTGATTTCAGCTTTTTCCAAGAAGATTTACGGAAACATGCTCATGCTCACCTCAAGCAAAATGTTGAGTTACATCATTCTGGACAGACTTAGAGATGTTCTAGATGGAAGAATTCACCCAGATCAGTCTAGATTCAGAAATAACATAATTCAAGCACTGATTAAAATGCAAATCCACACAGTCATCATTAAACAGAGCCTAAAATGTTAGTCGATTCCCTGCCCCAACTCTGTAGGCCTTAAAAAAGCTCCTACAGCATAGCCCCTGAAGTAATTAGCTAGCTGCTTTAACACTACGCAGCACATTTCCGCGAACATTTATAAACGTGGTTCAGTAGCTGTATGATGATGTCAAGTAGTTCACAACGGAAAGCTCAAAGAAACGTTTGAAGTGAAGACATGAGACATAGCGGCCTGCTTAAATCCCTGAGCTACCTAAATTTTCCGTCTGTCAAAATGCTCCATTTCAAGCTGCTCTAATCTTCTGCTCGTCAGAATGAGTCACAATCTGTACTCAAGCAAAATTTTCAACACCTTTCTACCTACCACTAGGAAATCCAGGAAGAACATTGTAGAGTAGCACTGAAGCATACTTCGTATGGAACATTATACCTTCAGATGACGTATTACCGATTATTATATTATTCGAAGATTCTACGCAAGGGGTAAATACCTTGCAATGTAACTCGCTGAAAGTTCTATATAACGTATGAACACATTTTTTGGAATAAAGCTATTATTGTCATTTTTGTGACTAATGAATGTATTGGATGTGAACTTCTTGGAATATTGTTCAAAGTAACATTTTATGAAAGGGACTAAGAGTTAATACTGTAGATTCTAATATCCTCCAGAAGACAATCGAAAGATACTTTAAGGACAACATACAAAGAAAAATCACTTCAGTTGCATAAAATCTTCTAATCCACCAGGAATAAATGCATTGATTCATTCCCAAATGTTGGTTTTCGGGGATTGGTTACAAGTTCGATCACTAGCTATATGATTTGGAGAATTTTTAGATATCTGAGAGTGTAACAACAGAAGACAAGGGCCGGCAACAGATTGTTTTATTACGGAAATCAGCACGTATTTATATATATTTCCTGTACATTATTATAGCTTATTCAAGCAGACAAACACAGTCTTCTGATTGGTTGTTTCTTGCTCAAGGTTACTGGTTTCTCGGAAAGTTAAGCCACATATCTGCGAGTCTTATTTGCCCACGTTAAGTCTGCTGTGATTGGTTGTTGAATCAGCCTTGTTCATATTTTCTCACGGCCAATATTAGTGATCTAGGCATTGACGTAAATTAATATCTACCAATTGGCCAGCAGCTTGCTCTCACCACAAGAGTACTGAGCAGCTGTTTCGCCCTACTTCTTTAGGACTTTTCATCAGCACGAACCCAGCGGGGTTCAAACGCAATACCTTAAACTTACAAGGCCAGTTCGTAGAGAGTTTAGCCACTGGGAACTGGTCAACTGGTCCGTGTCTTTAAACTCCTACCAACTCGGTGTACATAGTGCAGCTGCCAGCCAGCAGTTTTTTCCCCCCGGTTCACCAAGTGATGTAAGCTTTTGATCAAACTTATAACCAGTCAGACGTCTGAAAACTTACACTTCATAATTAATCTAATGCTCAGTACTAATTGGTTGTATAGAGGAAGTTATCTGGAGCTCTAGTGAGAAGTCATGGCCAGCAGGAACCATCAAGTCAGTTAAGAGAACTCTTACTCGCCAACTGCACTCGCTGGTGATGGTATTATTTATCGCAATTGGCGGAAGTTGGAATTCATGAGCCACTGGATGGGATCCCAGTTGTTTGAATAATCTTAAAGCCCTCCTTTTAAACTGAATATCCTGGGTTCTTACCCCATTACTGATGAGGAGTCTGTAACTAGGACGAAACAACCATCTAGTACTCTCTGATTATCAGTCTGTCTCTGAGCTCCTAACCAAACCTGTGGTAAATAAATGCATTAAAGTTATGGAAAAGAAAGTAGGCAATATTTTTTAATTTTGAAAACATGTATTTTTAATTACTTTTATTGTACATAAGTGTATTCTTGAATTCTTTGTCTAGAAAAGGTGATACATTTGGTTAATAAAATGGAAAACAAATTGGGATAATGAACACGTACATTTACGTCATTATTATTATTATTATCGGTAATGTAGTGCTAATCACAAGTAGATTGTTTAATAAAGTGAATATAATAATCAGTAACATCATTAAGAAGGTGAAAACTTCACTTTACTACGTATTTAACTTTAATTCGTTCATTTAACAAGTTTAATGACTATAAGACATTATGTCTATATGCAAATTTGCCTTGCTATTAGAAACATGCTATAAAAATGTTTTGTAAATGACGCAATATGCTTTTTTTTGCTTTTTATAGTTTAATTGGCAATTTAGTGATGTCCTGTGATACCAGTCGAAGCAAAAAGTGAAGGTAAGATTCCATTTATACTAACTAATTCCTACTATAATACTGAATAGTATTACCAGAAAAATATCATTCGAGTACATGATTCGATTCGATTCGATCGCGTAATATTTCGTGTATTTATGGTATGCATATATGTTAACATCTTATGAAAACTCATTACTACAGTAATTGGTTTACACTCTACATTAAAACAAAAGATACTTAGCTTAGAAATGTAGAAAATGTTTCCACAAAACAATATTTTTGGAAAAATGACACCTTATAACAACAAAAAATTCTTTGTAATTTTTGGAATAGAACAGACAGTTGATTGATTAAAATGTCATTTGTTTTTAGAGGACAAAAAGAAAGGAGAGGGGAGAGGAGCGGAGCGGAGGGGATATAAAGTTGAGAAAATTTAACAAAAGATAAGCGTTCGTTAACGTCGACTACTTTGTGGAGCTGTAAATTTCAATAATCCTTTAGGTCGAATATCACTCAGATCGCATGTTTGTCGTCTATAAGAATAAAAAAAAGCAAACGAAATTAGAGAATAATGTGAGTTATAGGTTTACAGATATTTTCTTTTCTAACTGATTAAAAGTGCCTATTAAAATTTTTCAAAAGAATGGATACTGAACGAAGAATACTCCTTTCGATAACCCTTTCGTCACCAGGCTCTACAGTTATATATACATTATAGTGAATGAATAAAATAGTGTTATGAACAACATTAATGTTGTTTAAATAACATCGAATCAATAATATTGATAGATTACAGCTCAATAGCATCAGCCTAAAATAAGCTGAATGTCAGCAGAATTAGGAAGGATAATATTACAAATCATGAGTTTATAGTTTCTACTGAAGGCCGGCCAGGGTAGTAGTAGCGGCTGGCTGGACTTGCTTCTTTTGAACACAGAGCACTGGTTGCTTGAGCCGAATTGCAATAGCCTCTAGTGGTTTGAGCATGCAGTGCTTCGATAATTTTGGCAATTTATTACGCACCGGTAAATAGAGAAGGATTCTTCAACGCTGGCTGGCTTTGTGGCCGGTTTGCATCTTTCAGTCGAGGGAGCACCATCGGTCGTGTAGAGAATAATACGTGTAGTTCGCCAGCATTAAAAGTTCTTTGAACTGATTTTCTTAATTTCCTCATAATTATCTCACTTGGTATATCGCTCTTGAATTGTAGTCATATATAAAGCGGTTTCTTGTATACAGATAGTGAGTAGTCCTTTTCTACTTTCTTTGTCATGCGTTTCTTGATAAATTTGTCGGGATAGCCATTTTCGATCAAAGTATCATATACAATGCTTAATTCATCTTCAGTTACTTCTTCTGAGCATATAGCTCTAACTAACTCTGTGGCTGAGGGTCTTCACTAAATTTCTTTTTTTACTTAGTAGGAACGAAGCTGTAAAAAAATTGTATTATAGCTTTATTCCACACAGTATATTTTGGGACAAATATGCAATTTTCAGTATGTGATATCGGTAGCCCAAATTTAGCAGACCGACCATTGATATTGGGTGTTTGTCGGCTGGGAATCGAATCCCGGATTCTGTACATGGTCGGAGAGCGTTCTAACCGCTGTGCCACCAACGCCCCATATACACGAAATTTGAAAGTAATACAAGTGCCTTGATACGATTGTGTGCAACAAATTATCCTCGAAACAGCATCAGTAAATAATACTGTATCCTTGATGGAACTATACAATGACATGGCATCCAAATCCTATTCTTATGTCAATGAAACCTGAAGGTACCAAATCCTCGATGGAAGAAATCAACTCTTATTGTCAAGATGGTAAACATTCTTTAAGGCATGTAGTGACAGTTACGACTTAAAAAGTAGTTTAGAGGGCATATCTTTTCAATTGAAGTTTCATACAAAAATAATCAACAAAATTTTCAGACTATATGTATATTCCTCCGTCATAAAGAGTGAATCATACCATTGACTGATATCAACGAGAAAAACCTTTGAAAAACAGATAGCGTCAGACAGTTGTTCTATCCTATTATAGAGAAAACTTATTTTGATCAAATCTCACAGTGTTATACAGTAATATTTACTGATGACTTTTCCAGCACAATTTATTGTTCATAATCATATGAAGTTTATATATTTAGAATTTAATTGGTGTATGGTGACTAGCAGTGGAATCCAGGATAACACGCATTTCGTCCTATTTGGGACTAGTCAGCTAGTGAGTGCATCTGCATTCCGCAGTGATTGAGTGATGATGTTCCCACCGAGGCTGGAACCCAGTGCCCATAGTTGCAAACGCCAAAGCATTATCCACTAGACCACTTGGGCCACGAGAGCCACCTTTTGTGCAACTGGTCATAATAATTACTTGATTCAATTTAAGATTTTTCTCGTCGATTGATTGGACTGAAATGCCCGGTCTCAGGTGCATTCACGAGCTGACGATTCCCAAATAGGACGAAATGCGAATCCTGGATTCCACTGCTAGTCACTATACACCAATTAAATTCTGATTACGTGCCCAGACATCTTCGAAGCATCTGCACAAGAAGCCGACATGTCAACCTGAGACCGAGCACTTCGGTCCAATCAATCGACGGGAAAATCTAAAATTCAATTACAGAAGTTCATATATGTTATGAAATTATATTCTAAAGCAGCGCCCTGATCCTATTCTTATATCAATGTTCCGTCATAATTTGAAAAATTAACTGTATTATTCACTAATGTTCACTAGAATCAGTCGTGTCTAGGACTTCCAGTTTACTAGTCAGAAAAATTTCCTTAAAACCATTGGGTCAGGATTCAGTGATTCGTGATTTCCAGTCTCTGCTAATTTGGGATATATCTCGAACTGTTAACTACTATCATCAGTGGATATTTGTACTCACACCTGACTAGGTAGATTCTGCTAGTCACTGAATCATATTGGAAATCTAAGAAAATCTATTTTTCTAGTTGTTCAGTAGTGAGAAGCAAATGGAAGTTAGTGTAGTGATTTGTTGAAAATTAAAATTTTCTCTACTTATTTAAGTACATTAGTGATAGTGTCATACAGAAATTCACTAGCTACTGTGTCACCAACGTAATAAATGAGGGAAATACTTTTCGCTGTTTAGAAGTATATTCATCAAATATGATTCTTGGATAAATTACCTATGCACCGACCATCTTCAGTCGTTGACACCTCATATATATATATATATATATATATATATATATATATTTGAAGGGAAGAGGTCATAATGAGAATCATCGGGAGACCATGAGCTGTTTGGATGAATGATTTTCGAATGGGAATTTGTTTTCTACCATTGTCACTTCAGGCTCAAAGGTTTAATGCTAGGTGTCGATGTCAGTGACTTAACAATAAACAGACCCATCATAAAGTTCACAGTTAGAGAATCTACCTTACACCAGTACTAACCGATAATTCATTAATGATATTAATAAGAACCCAGTGTCCCACGATTTTAAAATGTTACTTATAAAGACAGCACAGTATAATTTAACATTGAAATTATTAAGCACTATAGGCACTACATGATCGCCTAAGTGAGATACATCCAAATATCAAATTCACCATGGAATATGAACATAATAATAAGTTCAATTTCCTGGATCTAAATGTAAAAAGAACAAACGAAAGCACGGTCTAAAAGTCCATCTATAGAAAAGAAACCTGGACTGGACAATATCTTCACTATAACAGCTTTTGTCCCATAAGCTATAAACGTGGATTAGTGAGGACTTCGTATGACAGAGTCAGAAAGCTATGTTCACCAAACAGGGTCGAAGAAGAATTAGTTTTCGTCGAGAAATGCCTAAGGGAAAATGGATACCCTAAGGGATTTATTCAGAAGTACAGCAGAGAAAAAGATGAGAAAGAAAAGCATCCAACTGTAGAAAAGAAAAAAGTGTTTATCTGTCTACCATACAAAGGAGATGCAGTGTCACAAAAGATTGACAAAAGACTGAAAGGTGCAATAAATAGAAGCTTCCCAGCAGCAAAACTCATAACATTATACAGCAATACTTCTTCTATAAGCTGCTCTCAACTGGATAAATACCCTGCTGATGTCACCTCCAACTGCGTTTATGAATTCACGTGCACTTGCGGGAGCAAGTACATTGGGAGGACAGAAAGAAGGGCTTCTATCCGGTTTTCTGAACATATTCCCAAAAACCTGTGCCTGAAAGGAAGCAGATATTCCCAGAGTGCAATTACCAGACACATTATTGATACCGGACATCTCGTAGAGATTTCTAAGTCCTTCAAAATATTAAATAGACAAAGGACAGCAAATTTACTACGATTTGCCGAAGCAATCGCAATCAAAAGACTTAAACCAGACTTATGCATACAGAAAGAGAGTGTGATTAACCTCTCACTCCCTTGGTAACAGAATTTTGATTTTGATTAGTCATCTAATTCAGTGATCTCAACTCACTGAACAAATCTTAATCTCATAAACTGTAACCGTTTTTGTTTCTTGAGTTGCTATGTGAACCTAAAAGCTAACACTGTTCTGTTAATCAATTTTTTCTGTTTTCTCTCTTACCCCTCCCCCTCTTTTCAACTTTAAAAGCGTATAAATTGATGATGAAAACTTAAACTAAAAACATTGTAATGCTTTCATTTAGATGCGTCAATTTTATAGTATCTCTTTTCTACCACCACTCGAACATTAAAGTATGTTATTATCATCTATATAACCATTGTAATTTCAGGTAGTCTGCAGCTGATGAGAACCTGTGAAATAGAATGATATCATTTTATACTGCAAATTTCGTCTTCCTTTCTTTATCGAAATTTATCAAGGGAACCAAATGTATGAGTATTAAGCATTAGTTTGTCGAATGATATCTCCTTTAGTGGAGGAATGATCTAAAAGATGAACTTACTTATACACACATCTTAAGATAATTTGACATCGTGGAAAATACCCATTGGGCCATTAGAAAGAAGAGAAGACAAAAGTACAGCAAAGATAACTACCTTTTCGGCGATTTCATTTTCAAAAGCTGTACAATCGCATTTAAATGCATAAATTTACACAGATACAATTTTTATTTGATTCGACATAATTACGAAGGCGAATAAAAGGTGACAATTATTTTCAACAAGACATGGTTTTTACGAGAGGCTTAGAAACAAAATTACATACAGGATTCGAACGAATACAGGTGGACAGAAAATGAGCTTGGAAACAAAATTGAAGTAATAATTTTCAACTTGAAATGTAAGTTAGGAGGTGTGAATATAGGTTACAAGAGGCATAGAAACAAAAAATTACACAGGACTAGAATATAATTGTAAAATGGTTATTCTAAACGGATTACAAGTGTGATCAGGAGGAGCATGGAAACAAACTTAAAATAACTGATTTTATAACTGTAAAAATGGGATGAATTGAATGAAAACAAAAAGAGAAAAATACACACACACAGCGAGCGAAACAAACAGAACAGAAGGCTAAAGGGAAATACCGAACTAGGTCCATGGTAGTTGTAGAGATTG